GAACCAAAGTGATTACACAAGCACTGACAGCACCAAACTCCCTTGCACTAGATGGAGCCTCTTGCTAGTGGTACTTTTAGAAACGTACTGCATTTCTTGTTTAGAGCTGCAAGCACTGGAGAAGCAGCCACTGGGAGCAGGGGTGAGAAACCTAATCTTGCTGGCAGATCAGATCCTACCTCTTGTGGGTCAAATTTGACAGGTGGGCAGGGCTGTCCACCTGTCAATCATCCAACATCACAATGGCATCAAGTGACAATCATTGAGACTTCAAAGTACCAAGCGGGGCTTTGAAGAGTCACTAATGAGCAGGCTTGAAGTCCTGCCTATCAGCTGTTGGGTGGTGGCCTGTATTCTGTAGGGATTGGCTGAGCAATGGTTCAGAGTTATCCACGTTTAAGCTTTACAGTAAAGTTGTTGTTTAAATTCTTGATGCAGGATCTATCTGGGCAGTCTGCAACATCGCCTCTTTTACAAAAAATAAGAACAACCAATTATATGCCTGTCTTCACAGCTTTTGTGGACATAAATCATGTTGTTTTCAGCAACAGCAACTTTCGCTCCATGTCCTCAACCCAGCTTTAGTCACACATAAGGAGGAGTGGCACGTGACTGGTAGCAATGAGGGTGTGTATAGGTACAGGTTCCTCCAACAATTATTTATTTGCTGGATTTTTACAATGCTTTTCCTCCAAGGTACTCAAGGTGGCACAGATGATTCTCTCTCTTTGCATTTTATCCCCACACAACCACCCTGTGAGGTAGCTTAGATGGAGAAATAGTGACAGACTCAAGGGCACCTAGCTAGCTTTGCCAATGAGTGGGAAATCGAAACCCATTTCATTTCCAGAGATACTCTACCAAATGCACAGCACATATGTACAAGGGGATTTAATGGTGTTGTGCATCCAAATCTCATCCACAGGCGTGTACATGTGGATGCATTATCAATGTGTTTCTGCATTTGCATTCAATCTGTGCATGCATACATTGTATGCAGATGTCCCTTGCTAAACTGGGGCAAATGTGTTTAAGAACCTACTATCAGTCAAAACCAAGTCTGACCAAACTGACTTGGTCTGACCAAACTGCGGGAGGCAGTGGAAGACAGGAGTGCCTGACGTGCTCTGGTCCATGGGGTCACGAAGAGTCGGACACGACTAAACGACTAAACAACAACAACAATCAGTCAAAAAGGAACATCTCTAGAAAGCAAGGGTTGAGGGCAGCTCTATTATGCAGATAGCTTGTGGCAGCACCTGCCTTGCGGTTAGCATTGTTCCCCATTGCAGAGAAGAAAACATCAGTTCCTCCCTTAAGGAACACAACAGGGCGATATGGAGAGGTGGAAGGAAAGGGCAACAACTTTTTGCAAGACATCAGCGCTCATCGGTTGTTCGGCATGCCCTGACTTGCCTCACAAAACAAGCCGAGTAACTTTGCTGTACGATGCTCAAATACATCAAAGAGCACAGCACACTCATGAAGAGTCAGGAAACCAATTTTGTGATAAAAGCTTAGATATACTTTAAGCCTACCACCATCTGCTGTTTCTAGATGTGTGCCTGCATCACACAGATTGGGTTGTATGAAAGGGTTACTACTGAAGAGACAGCCTAGGAAGCCATTGTTCCCTGGCACATGCACAGGCACAAGCCAAGGCTTGCCCTGTGTGCTGGACTGGGAGCGGAGATGGCTGGTCGGGCACTCCCTATGCCAAGGCTTGCCTCAAACACCCAGCACGTGGCATGAACACAGAGCTGCACCCAGCACTGCCTGCAGCTGGTCTTTAGGGACTGGCAGGTGATCTTGTGCCATGGATCCAGTTAGGTGATAAGTACATTATCCAGGCGTTGGGTGTGAATGAATATTAGAAGGTTCGGCTGCTCAGTTATTATGATAGGAGTTCACGTGTCTTGAGACTGACAAGGAATAAGGTGTGCATTCCATGCACTTGGGACACCAGTACCTCCAGCAGACCATGCATGGTGGTGTTCACACCCCACTGATCAGCTGTCTTCCCCCAACAGACGACATTAGAGATAGGGTGGTGGTAGATACAGGATCATCTGGAAAGACTGATAGTTCTGCAGTCCAAAGCAACTTAGAGAACCTCCAGAAGTTTCCCAGAAGCAGCTTTCAGAATTATACACAAAATTGCTCCACCCAATTGATGGTCAGATAGAATTTTTCTTCAACCCAAAGCCAATGATTTCTTCAACCCAAAACCTCTGGCACTTGGGCCAGATTTTATAGAAATCTGAATGGTTACTAATGCATACACATGTTCATGTGGACAGAGCATTCGTCCAAGTCTGCCAGCATTGCACCACCGTAGGACAATAGGGAAGCAGTCTCAGTGGCGACAGCTTAAGCTGAGGAGTTTCCTTCTCCTTGAGATGCTCCAGAGCATGCTGAGCTGGAATGCCTTCCAGGAATGTTGGGATATATTTTAATATGATATGATCATTTAGATTGGCTTTTGGTAGACACAAATATATTTATGTATGCTACCACAGCCGCGAGGATGCTTTTAGCCCAGAAATGGAAGCAGCAGGAACTTCCAACATTGGAAGAATGGCAAACTAAAATGATGGAATATGCAGAACTGGCAAAGCTGACAGGGAAGATTTGAAACCAGCACAACAAAGCTGTTTGAAAAGGACTGGAGTAAATGTATACTATATATGAGAGAACATTGTAAACATTTGAAAACATTTGTAGGTTTGAGTTAAAATATTTTGTAATGTTAATTCTTGGAACTACTTTACAAACATTAAGGTAAATTTTATAAGTAAAGAAAGAAGGTAAATAGGTTGATATAGAAATGCTAAGTTGTAAGTGAATATTTATGAAAGCCAGGGAGTGGGAGGGGGGGAAGTCGAGACTCAGGTCGAACAAAGTTACTGGTGATGTTATGATTTTAATGGATTGTGATTATGGCAAAAAAAAAAAAGTAAACTGGGTTATGCTGGTATGGGAAGATAATTTTACTTTGTGGGATTCATTTGAATCTACTAAGTGCCAGAGTATGGTCTGAAGGCACATAATGCAGCCACCTTGCTGAAGCTAAGCAGGTCTGGGAGTGATTAAGGCCTGGTGGGAGGCCACTTGGTGTTCTCCATGAATACTACCTTGGTGGAATAAAGGTGGAACATGAATGTATTGCTGCACATGTATTACTAGACCCACATTTTTAAAGCAGCCACATTGCTTAAAAAATGTGGGTCTAGTAGACCCAAACTGAGTTGCACAACTCAAATTGATTTTTTAATTTTTTTTTTTAATATATTTTGAGAATCCCGAAGATTGAGAGCACAGATATTGTGAAGGTAGAGTGCTGTAGTAAGTTGGCTGTTCGGCTGTAGCTAATGCAACACCCACCCCCCAGCCCTTTTATCAGAAGTCAAGACCCTAGAGGACTAACAATGAGTTCAAAAATATACTTAAGTGGATACCAAAAATGCAAATTCATGGACAAATTGTGCTGATCTGTCGTGGAACAACCCCATTGAAGAAGATGACAGTAGTTACCCAGAACTCGTTGCTGGTTGTGAGGGGGGCCCTATCACAGTTCAAGCTTCAGTGCCCCAAATGTCCTGAACCCCTGGCCTACCTGGCAGCAAAAGTCAGTATACCAAGTCCAAAGGCCAGGAAATGCAGCCCAGAATCAATTCAAGTAGCCAAGTCTGAAGTCCCACAGTCAGGATACAGTCCAGAGTCAAACCCAAAGCACAGTCCAGGAGGATCCAAATCAAGGTCCATCAACATAAGCAGTTGAGCAGACACAGCCCCTCAACTCTGCTTTGCTTTTGCACTTTGCATGCTGATTGCAGCATCTGGACTTGATGAGGCATGTGACCCTCACCTGTTCTGAGTCTATTCCAGCTGAGGAATCACTCCCCTCCTCCCAGAGCTAACTAGCCCCACCTGGCCAGCTAGGGAGCTGTGGGTCCTTGCCTGCCTCAGCTTCCTAGAGTGCATCTCCTGCTGCTCCTTACGGTTCAGAGCCCACTGTGTTTGTGGGGACTGGGGCTCCTCTGGCTCTGGTGATGGGTTCTGCTCCTCTGTCTCCTGTGCACTGACCTCCATCCCCTTGCCATCCTCCTGCACCCTTTGAGTACTTCATTCCCCACCCCCTGCTTGCCCTAGTATATCCTAGTCCTGGCTACACCCCTTGCCGGGACCCTCTTCCTCCTCTCTGTTTTCCTGCCAGTTCATGACACCAAAAATTTTGGCCCACCATTGACTGTACCCATGTCTAGGTGCTATACTTTAAGAAATATTTGTTGTATTGTTTATTTAGTATTACATTTAGATCCCACCTTTCCTCAAAGAAGCTCACGGTCGCATACGTGGCTCTCCCCAGGTGGGTTAGGCTGAGAGGCAATGACTGTTCCAAACTCATCTAGTGAGTTTCATGACTGAGTGGGGATTTTAATCCCAGGTCCTAGCTGAGCACTCTCCCCACTCTACCACACACTGGGCAAATCTGCGCTATATATTTAATCCCAGGGTAGTTTAATAATCAATCCCCTTTCCTACAAAACTCACGGAATTGTATTTCTGTGAGGGGAACAGGGAATCTCCTAACAGCTCTCAGCATCCTCAACAAACTACAGTGGCCAGGATTCTTTGGGGAAAGCTGTGATGGTTAAAGTGGTCTCATAGTGCTTTAAATGCATAGTATGGATGTGGCCTTAGACAAATTAGACCAGGTGCAGAGAAAGACAGCAAAAATGGTCTGAGGTATGGAAGACCCATCCTCTGAGGAAATAAATTGGTATTTTTAGTCAGGAGAAAACCAGAGGCACATTAGCACTCTTCAAATACCCTGGAAGGCTTTTACAAAGAAGGAGGCAGAAGACTTGTTTTTTGCTATCTCTGAGGCAGGACTGGATCTAATGGGCTTCAGTAAAGATGGTAAAATCATAGAATTGTAGAGTTGGAAGGGACCACGAGGGTCATCTAGTCCAATTCCCTGCAGTGCAGGAATCTTTTGCCCAATGTGGAGCTCAGACCCACAACCCTAAGATTATCAGTCTCATATTCTATCAACTGAGTTATCCACAGGGCTTAGAGTTTAGAAATTTCTTAATGGTAAGAGCAATTTGACAATGGAACCAGTTACAAAGGGGCAAGGGGGCCAACTTGTATAAAATATTGGGGGGGCAGGTAAGCCCCTCCCCACATAATTGATCACAAGATGACGTTCACTCACACCATTTGAAACCTTGGGGGGCCCCAGACCCATCAAATATTTTATTGGGAGGGCTGAGGGACCTCAGTCGCTAGGAGTTGGCTGAGGGATCCATAGGCAAATAGCAGGCTGTCCCTCACAGAGGTCTTCAGGCAGACTATTGATGATATTTTAGCTCTAGATTTCCTGCATCAAGCAGAGGATTGGACTAAGCCTACAAGACCCCTTAAAACCCTGTAATTCTGTAAAACAAATATATGGTTTGACTCTAAGATACATACACAAAAACCATTTCCACACATGGATTCCCTTCCTAGTTGTTGTGTGCCCCCACAGTGTGCATGGGAATGTGCATTTGAACATAAAGCAGCCAGTGTGACTGTGTTTGCATTACCCAGCCAGCATGGTCATCCAAATTTCAACAGAGATGGAGATGTACATCTACAACAACACTCCTGGGCTGAGAAAGCTGCGATGCACATGACTATATCTGGAACAGGGCCATGGTTCCATTCTCTGAACCTTTGGGGTAGTGTTGGCTAGGCATCCTAAAGAAATGTTAAACCAACACACATCCCTGGCATGAATTGTGTCACCAGGTTATAGCAGGTGGCCTGGGATCATTGTAGCTAAGCGATTACCCTACTTGTGCACATGCAGCCCATTGTTGCACCTACGGATCTGTGGATTGGTGCACATGTGGTTGCACAAAAGTAGATAATAACTAATTAATCAGAGGGCATTCCTGAGAATATATTAATTAAAAATGCAAGATTTCCATACAGGAACCTGTAGTTAGCCACAAGAGTCTAGAGACATCAATAATTACTCACCCACTCACCCACCCTTGATAAACAAGTTAAGGGAAAGCCCAAACAAGATATTCAAGAAATAAGAAAACAGATCAATATTCAAAATCCTACACATCTTTACTCACAAATAAGTTGCAGCCAGTTCGCATTACTTACTTTCAAAGCAAATGAGCATAGGTGGGCAAGGCTAACTATTACAATTGACTCCTACAAGGAAGATTTGAAAAAACTCTGTGTATGAATTAAATAGTTCCATTTATTTATTTATTATTTTACATTTGAAAAAGTTCTGGCATCTGTGCTATATATCAAAACTGGAGAGAGAAAGCTGGCAGATAACTAGTAGAAGACCAGGGTTCTTCCTCAGAGGATGCTGTGAGATAATTTGAAAGAGGCTCACGTGGAAGCGAGCAATGGCACACACACGCCAACAGGCAGTTCTGCTGAACAAAGAGGGTGAAGCAAGGATGCTTTCGCAACCAGCTCAAGGAAAGGGTTCCAGGCCAGTAGTGTGTGTCTGCCCAAGAGATGATGCTTACCCAAGCTTAGATTGAAGGTCACAAAACAGTCACAGCAAGGATGAATGGTAGCTAAGCAAATAACTGGCTTATTCCCAAACATGGTGGGGGTTTTTTTGTTAAGAATTAAAATATTTGCACCCCATAAAATATATCCAAGGAGGCTAACAACAACAACAACAACACAAAAATACAACAGCCAAAAGAACTATAAGAAAAAATAAAAGTCCAACTGCTTTTAACCTATAAAGCCCTTTACAGCTCAGGATCCCAGTATCTTTCAGAGTTCCGCCCTACCTGGGTACTTTGACCTTCCATCATAGGCCCCTCTCCTGTTGCAACCTCTAAGTGAGGTTCAGAGGTTGGCAAGAAGGGAGAGGGCCTTTTCTGTTGTGGCTCCCTGTCTGTGAAACGTTCCCCCAAGTGTGGGCCTCCTGGCCTCTTTCCTTTGCCAGACTAAAACTTATCTCTTCCCCCCCAGTTGTTCTTTTGGTGGGTTTATTTAGGAGTTATTGAAGTGGTTTTTAGTAGAATACACTATTTTGCTTTCATGTTGTGCCTTTTTGACTCTTGTAATACACTTAGATGCTTCTCTGAAGTAAGGAAAATAATAAAAGAATGATGCTAATCATACCATCTTACATTATACCCTAAAATGACATTACCAAAAGAGATGACACTGATCGTACCATCTGTGCTATTCCATGAACACTTGCCTAGGATTAAGTTCCATTGAAGACCATGGGGCTTACTTCCAAGTAAACATGCCTAGGATTGTGTTACTAGAACAATTGGAGCTAGAGCAGCTGCCTCTGCTTTCACACAAGGCCCGCATTCTGGTGTCCTCACCTGAGCAAGGGCAAATCTCTTGCATTGGAAGACAATTGCATCTCTTGGCACAGATAGAATTCTGAGTGGGTGCCTGAATGGTTTGCAGATGGGCTTGCATGTGCTTCTCATGTTTTGTTCTCCATCATGGGCATAGCTTGTGGAGTCACTCCAACATTGCATGCTGTTCTTTTTCTTCTACCCAAAAGGATGGGTGGCGAGTGACTTGTTCTGGCTTTTCAAGGAGGCATGCCTCCTTATCTTTCCCACTCCTTTACTGAGAAAACCATCTCATTAAGGGTCGGCAGATGACTGAACAGCACACAGGTTGTCTGATTAAGCCTGACATCTCTTCTTAGCTAGGGGAGGGGAAAAAGCTTATGGCAGGTGACAGTGGAGACACGGGCAGCGGTGGCGGCAAAAACAACCTCCCAATGTCAACTTGAAATGCCACAAGAACGGAAAAAAATCTAAAATGCTGACCCTACTCTTTTGAAAAGGGAGGCTTGTTGCCTCTTACTCAGAATCATGTCAGGACAGGCTGAGTGAATTACCAGCATTAGCTTGCCACCCAAAGTCAAAGGGTTTGCAAGAAGAGATGCGAAGTGAGTCAGTCCGCTTCATTCATGAAAGGAAGAATGGCTTTGTGGTGAACGCTCAGGATCCATATGGCTCTGAACCTGCCTTGGCTACAGCAGCTTGATGCCTGTGATCTGTCTTGGGCATGTTGCATCCAGTACAGCCACAGCTTTATTCTGTTGTGGCTCAGAAGCCTGAAAGAGAATGTGTGTGCCTTTGGGTTGTTGTTGCTTTTAAATCACTTTCTCATTCTGAAGACAGATGGGTCAAAAAAGTATTCTCTTGTTGGGTTCTGCCAGATACAATGCTGAAGTTTGTTGCTTCTTTGTACACACACACACAGACAGCCATTTGCACATAAGTTTGAACACAGCTCCAGTGGGAAACTTAACAAATAATTAAAATGAATATGCCCCTGAACCTCAAGGGCTACCCCACTATCATATATTACCATGACTGATGAACTGATGAAGTTCTGCAATAATTTTTGCCAATCAAAATAGTTGTGTTGCAAATACATGATGGCCTCAGGTGTCAATAACAAAATATGAAGTCTGTATTCTTTAGGCCATTCCAAATCGTACATCAAAACCTTCAGAAGAGTGTCCTCTAGGAGATGGCTTTGAATTGCATCTGGCTCAAAGCTTCCTTGGGGTGCGGGACAATGTCAAAGATGGTGTCCCTATGCCAATATGCAGCAATGAATAAGGATTTGGCAACCACCAAGCAACGTCAGTATTATCAGCCAAATTCCTTTGGGAAGCTTGCAAGTGCAATAGAGAAAGCAATCCCCTTTGTTTTAATCATGGCTAAATCTCCACAACCTAAGCCTGTCACCTCCCTGCTTTGCTGCAGAGGTTCTTATTGACTTTCAGTAAGAGATAAATGAGTAGGATCCATTATTCTGAATGCTCGTTGCAATGCAGGTGTACAGCTGGATGCAGGTACTTCACCTGTAAGCTAGAAGCAGAAGTGGACAGACTGTTGTGAGGAGGACAGAAAACCGGGAAGAAGGACCATGGAATGGAGTGACTGGAGTCCTGGACAGAAGCACTACATACTGCAATGTTTTGTTGTGGGTCCCACCTGAAATATTAAAATACTCCAGCAGCCTAAGAAGAAATATTCAGAGTAACATAACAGGTTTCTGTCACCTTGCAAAGCTTCACTCATTTATAAATGGACAAGACTGCTTGCTTGCTTGTTTTCCAGAGGAAAAGGGCAGAGAATGTTATATTGTACTCTCAGGGATCAAGTGTGCTCCAGCAGTGCTGCTGGCTATGCCACAAGGTAAACAATATAAATGGAGAACACTAGCATATTCCACCATTGTTTGTTTCAACTACAAAATTGCCCTTTCTTTCCTCTGGCAACATTAACAATAGCTTACGGCCAGCTTTGGCTGTGTACACATTACCGGCTTAAAAACACAGCTAGGTCATTCTGTTTCACAATTCAGATTGAAGCTGGTTCAGAGGCAAACACATCAAAATGCAGCATTTCATAAGAAAAGACAGGATGGATATGGACTGTGGCAAGCACCAGTTGAACACACTGCGCCACAAACTAGCAGTGGGAGCACACTGGATGCAGAGTAAATGAGAGTCTGTACACAGACTTTGCCGCATCTTTTTAAAAACAAAAAACTAGGGAGTGCTACATTTCTTGACTTTGGGGCCCTTTTTATTTATCACAAAGAAGTAGATACATAGACCTGCCCAAAGTGAGTTTTCTAGACTCTTCTCTTGTGTCCTGATGGATATACAGTGGTACCTCGGTCTAAGAACAGTCCTGTTAATGAACGAATCAGGCAACACACTCCGCAAAATCAGAAGTAGGTGTTCCAGCTAGCGAACTTTGCCCCGGAAGACGAACAGTGGAAGGGCACCAGCGGCGGGAGACCTCATTAGGGAAAGCGCACCTCGGTTTAAGAACGCTTTTGGTGTAAGAACGGACTTCTGGAATGAATTAAGTTTGTAAATGGAGGTACCACTGTATACACCATGCTGGGAAGAAAAGCATAGTATACATTTCTAAATTGAACGAAAAGAATTATAATGCAGTGTTAAGACCATGACTGTGTAATATAAAGCACAAGACTTCCCTAAAAAAATTCTGGGAACTGTAGTTTGCTAAGGG